CTGAGCCCGGCAGGCGGGAGCGCGCGGAGCAGCGCCGCTGCCCCGGGGAGGGACGCCATCCGGCCCTAACTCCCGCACAGGAAATCGGGACGTGCTCTCTGCGTCTCTGTCCCTGCCTGGCCGATGGCGGGGGACGGGGGAGCCCAAATGAGTTCGTGGGTGTGGGCGGTGCAGGGATGACGGGCCCCGGGCCATTGACTTCTGACTCTTGCCAGCCTCGGCAGCCAAACAGGAGGGAAGGCAGCTCACAGCCCTGCCTTCACCAGACCTAGGCTGCCCTCCCCCAGGGTTCCTGCCGCTCACGGCTCTGCCAGCTTGAGCTCCTCAGGTGAACTCTGTGCCGCTGGCGGGGACTGTAATGATTTGGGTCTGGTCTTAGGCCAGTGGTGCCAAAAGCCAATCTGGGCCATGGCAGCAGCTTTGATGAGACTCGCCGTGCCCCACGTGGCTCCCTCCGCTCCAGACATCATTGGAGCAACGTCAGCAGCCTGAGCACGGACAGCGGGATCGTTGGCGTGAACGACGTCCGGGACGATCCGGATCCCGGTGAGGCCGCACGGACCAAGTCAGCGGACGTGGAGAGGGCAGACAGTGGCATTGGCCAGATGCCAGCCAGAAAGTGGAGGAGCAGGGCATCCGAAACGTTGAGCTCCCTGCAGGCCTGGGAAGCCCACCGTCCCTGCACCGACTGTGGAGAAAGGAACCTCCCGGTGGAGACGGACGGGCAGAACTGCAACCAGAGGCGGGCTGACCTCTGCGAGAAGTGCCGCAAGCGCAGGACGGAGCGCAAGGAGTCTGTGCTAGAGTTTGTCAACACCGAGGCCAGCTACGGGGAGGACCTGCGCATCATCAAAGAGGAGTTCTACCTCCCCATGCAGGCAGCTGGGCTGCTGAGCCAGGAGCAGCTCCTGGGCATCTTCAGCAACATCCAGGAGCTCATTGACCTCAACGAGAACTTCCTGGAGATACTCCAGGAAGAGATCGATCAGGCCTTTGACCAGGTATGATGTTGTGTGCTCTAGAGGGGCCAGACGGGGCAGACAGGAATAGTTTTTTCATTAGTGTGGCAGCATAGGTGGTGCAGAGGATCAGGAGGTAGTACTCCTGGGTTCTGGTCATCTACCCTTGCTCCCTCAGCTGTTGTAAACTAGTGATTTCAGTAGGCCTGTGCCAGGTCACAGCTGCTGACCTCACTCTCTGCTGTAGTAATGCCACTGACATTAGCAGGCCATCAGCAGTCTAGCTCATTTATCTCTTTAACAGGACCTAACTATCCCAGTATGAAAGTTAGCTTTAAGCCAGTTAGCTTGGGCACTGGTAAGAGCGTGACCGTGGGGGCTCAGCTTGGTCTGGCTCACAGGCCATGCTCCTCCATCCTGAGCTGGTTCTCTTCAGGCTGGCTCGGGTGTACTTGCCTTGGGTTGCGGTTTATTGCCACTTGCCTCTAGGCTGACTGCAGGGCCAGGCAGCACAGGCTGCTCCCTGCTCTGGCAGCAACTGGCCCTGACAGCTCTGTTTAGCAGTGGCTTCTACTGGTGCACCCTGCTTTGCACAAGGAACTTTCCTGCCCCACCAGCGTGGTGGTCAGAAGGCAGAGAAATAGAAGTAAGACTCTAGAGCAATAGACAGTCATGGCAAGGGACAGATAAACATCTCTACATCTTCCTTTCTTCAAGAAACCAAATCCCACTTGTTGCTGTATCAGTTTCCCCAGGATATTTTGTTCTCTAGGAAATATATCCCTCCTCTCTTTCGGAAACCCAGCATATCAGACTGAGTGATGCAGATCTCAAAAACTGGCAGCCTTGTGCACCTGGCACAGTGAAGACACGTGCACTGTGGTGTGATGTCCCCTAAGAATAATTTACCAGGCCAGAGGCTTCTACAAAGAGCTGTGGGGTTCCCTGTCTTCTCCTCCATGTTGCCTTTGCAGTCAGAGTTCCATACCACACCAAAAGGACGCCAGCAGCCAGAGAGCAGCTCCCTCTCTTGCTGCTGAAACTAGCGGTGACTGAAGAGCTTGCCAGTGTGCACTTCAACAAAGCTAAGAGCATTGCATGGCACCAGGTTCTTACTGTGCCCTTATTTTATTGTGCATATTGCTGCGTAAGCCCTATGGCAGAGGTGCCAGCAAGAAGAGCCCAGGTACACTCTCCTCACTAGCAGGCTCACTCTGGCCTCTGGCCTTTGAGCACCCACCCTGGTGAGCTGGCTGAGCGCATAGAAGCAGAGAAGACGGCTCTTTGCGTGTAGAAGAGCAAGCAGTAAGACCAGCTTTCCCTCCCCTCCCCATGCCCTGCTTCCCCTCGACCTGCAGGGACTGCCTTTCCACTGGGGAGGATGAGGCCACTTCTACCTTTGGCCTGGTGTTCAGCAGATCCTGCAGTGGGTTCGTGCTGGTAGGACTGAGCACAGGCTCCATGCTTGTGCCTCTCCTGAGCTAACCCAGCAGGGGCTGTATTGCGTGCTTGCAGGGTGATGATGACCTGATGACCGTGTGCATCGGTGAGGTATTTCTAGAGTTCGTCAACATGCTGCCAGCCTTTCAGACCTACTGCCTTCAGCAGTCCTCCTCTGTGAATATGCTCAATGCACTGGAGAAGGAGAAAGAGCTGCTCAGGTGAGAAAAGGGATGAGCGTATGTTTCCAGGCTTTGGGGACGGGAAGGCGCTAGGCTGAGGGTGAAGCCTCTGTCAGCTCAACTAGATCAAAGTTTTGATGCTGATATTCTTCAGTGATAGCTGCTCTCTCTTGAGGTGAGGACAGTCATTTATTCTCCATGCTAGGTCCTTGATAGCTGCACTGAGGCAGGCAGCTGGTGCCCAGCAGAACACTGAATTTTGTGGTAGCAGCGTTTGCCCACTGATGACTGCACTGAGCGGTCACCAGCTAACAGCCAGCTGAGAGCAGCTCCCTGGCCCTGTGCCAGAGCACGGGTCGGATCTCCCCTGGGCAAAGGCACTGTGAGAAGCATGCATGACTTGAAGTCATTTCTCTTCCTAGCCCTGGTGTACTGGGCAACGTCAGGCGAGTCATTTCTCTTTCTATGGCAACAGCTTAAAATTATGACGGTATGAAATTCTTGTTTAGAATGCTTTGTAATCAAATGATGAAAGGAGATACAAATTAATGTAATCTCATATAAGCCGACGTGTCTGCATCAGGCCTACGTCACCGTGTACCAGAGGAAGGTCACACCCTCTTTGTTTTACAACAATTTACTAGAAGACTATTAGGGTGTTAAAAGCTAGTGTCCCAGGCCTCTCGTCACTGTTGTGCAGCTGAGCACAGCTGCAGAAATGGTTGTTAGTTTTTAGGAAGGCAGAACGCACTAGGCTGTTGAAACCAGCGGGGATGCTGCAGTGCCCCTCAGCTATCAGCAGCACACTGTCTGTCTGCGGTTAGGGTTGCTGCTTCTGCTGGCAGAACAGCCACCATTTCATTCACTCTTCTTAAATCCCTGCAGAATATTCCTTGATGTCTCCCAGAATGACAACACAGCACTGCGGCGGATGAACTTGAGGTCCTTCCTGATGGCCCCTTTGCAAAGGGTCACCAAGTACCCGCTGCTGCTCAGCAGAATCATCAAGGCCACCACCGAGTACCACCCAGATCACGGCAGCCTGCGGGAGGCCAAGAGCCGCATCGAGTCCCACCTGGAGCACATCAACATGAAAACCAAGCTGGAGGGGAACACGTGGACCCTCCGGTCCTTTCGCCAGGACAGCAAGAAGAAGAGGGAAGTCATCAACATTGAGATGAGAGAAACTGCCCTCAAAACTGTAGGTTGGATGCGGGAGGAAACGCGATTTGTGATGGAGGGGTCTCTGCAGCTGGCCCAGCCCCCTGACGGCCAGTGGGTAAAGAAAGGCAGCAAGACCCTGAAGTTCCAGAACATGCAGGTCCTCCTCCTGGTGAACATAAAGCGGGTGTCTGAGTCCAGCCTGGAGTCAGCCGAGCTGGGGCCTGTGAAGGATGCCGTGCTGGTACTCATCAGGGACAAAAACAACGGGAAGTTCCATTTGCTCAGGGAGCCCTTGAGGCTGAGTAACTGCATCGTCTCCACGGATCCCGACTGCGATGACACGTTTGAACTCATTGAGATCAGGCGGGAGGCGTTTGTGTTCCGGGACAGCGACCGGGCACGGACTCACCACTGGTTCAGGCAGATCAGGCGGTACTCGAGGGAGCTGGGCTCCTGGAAGAAGCGGCGGAACGCGCTGCCCAACATCATGATCAGCACCCCTCACACCAGGCCCTGAGTCCTGCACGGGCAGCACACAGGGAGACTTGACTTGACTGGTTCCATGTGCAAGGACCATCAAGAGCCTCAGTAGCTTGAACTTACTCTTCTCTGTGGACAGTACAGGGAGGAGCCCAGCCCATGAAGACTCTTTGTAACGCTGGAGGCAAGTGTTACAGCCTAGTTCTGGTCTCTGCCTCAGGACTCACAACCTGTTTGTGGCTGATGTACATACAGAGATGAGCTTCCCTTGAGGAGCAGATCTCTGGAGGAAAATACTGAGTTTAACTTGTTAATATTGCACTGCAGGAGAATGATGTATGATGCTTGCCATTGCATGGATCGTGTTGAAAGCTAGTCTTGACAACATGAGAGAGGTTTCCACCATTGACTATATTTCATCAGCATTAGGTAAAGTCAGGGTCAAAATTATGTGCAGTATTATGCAACAGGGGAAGAAAGTTGGAGAAAATTGTATTCTCCACTGCTACTCCTAAGGACTATATTTCATTATTCACCTCTGTATATTCAGTCAAAATACTTGCTTAAAAAGAAAGGTCTTTCATCTTTACTCCACATCAAGTAGGTATCAATTTGCTCAGATTCGGCTGCATGCACACAGGAAAAAAAAGCAAACAAGAATAAAAGGAGTTCACATACACCCCAAATATGTGTAGAACGTGTGGCAGAGCAGTATACCCCCACGGAAAGTCTGTTATTTAACTGACTTAGGGACTGGAACGTAACGCTGCATCTGAAATGTCTCAGAAGTGTGTGTAAATATAGTTCCGCTACTACAAATAGTGAACTTGAAAGTTTGCGACTATTTAAATGATGTAATCTAGTGTATTTCAAAATTTAATTGAAAGGAACAATCTACATTGTATTGTAGAGTAACATAAAAGGTTTTAATAATTATGTTTCAATGACTTTAGGTGGGTATTTTTAAAAATATTTGTATTCTGGAGTACATATTTCATTTAGAGTGAGTGGTATTTGGGTGAGCAATGTGCCTATGCCTGTTCTTTGGACCCCTGAACAGAACTCTGTGGCTACTCCTCATGAGACTGGGAGAACGGTACAAGGCTGCTGCCTTAATTATAGCTAGACAACAATAGATGGGCACAGAATGTTATGCTCTGGCCACAGTCCTGCCTGGGCAGGTCAGGCCCCGGCTACCAGACGTGAGAGCCAAAGCTGAGGCTACAGAGCTCTCCCCCTTAAGGTCCAGCCTCAATCAGCTCTGCAGCTGGGAAATGACTCAAAGCTGAACAATGGTCAAAAGGCAAACAGGGTTTCACCTTTTCAGCCTGACATCACCACTGACCGTGGCCTTGTGATTCCAAGATCGGCAAAATGTCACGCTGTGACTTGCACAGCACAGGCCAGATGACAGCCCTGGAGGCTAAATTAAAGGACCCTGAAGTTTGGTCGGTGGATCTCAGGTGACAGCCTGAAAATGTTCTTTCAGACCTCAGGGTAAAGGCAAAGCTAGTCAGTATTATTCTCTCCCAACAAAATATTTCTGTTACAGGCACTTATTTTACAGGAGGATTCCCACAGGAAGCAATTTTTTTGTATTTCTCCAGAGATCAACCAGCATCAGTGAGCACACAAATGAAGGCAGACAGCAGCTCCCTTCATGTCGGTAGCCCTAGTCTTTTAAGTCACCACTGACCCAATGCCTGAGCAGGCCTCCAAAGTGTACCCAGTGCTTTGTCCTCTTGCCACAGCTGCCAGGGCTCTGGGCACTGAGGTGGACAAGTGAGTGAGCCATGTGTACTGGCTGTATTTTCTATTCTCCTGCACCATCCGACATTTTAGTGCTTCATTTTGCCCACGGGAGTTGTTGCGTCATCGGAGGCTTTACAAATGCATACCCAGATGTGAGGGTGGCAGCACACAGCTGAGTGCTGCAGCGAAGAGTAGCTGCCAAAACACTTGGTGAGGCCCCAGCCTGACTCCCTCAGGTGAGGTGGAATTCTCTCCAGCTGTTTCTAGTTGTTAGACAATAAATGTTTTGTTCCCCCCAAATACACACCGAACAGCCAGTGAAGAGCATGAGGCATTGGTTTTAGCTGGATTTTTTATTTCAAATACATGGATACCTGAGCAGAGCAGCTTCTGAAGGAAGATCTCTCTTGTGCTGTCATGACAGATCTGCATCTATGAGCCTCCAAGCCCCACTCACCTAACATGGAAAAACCAACAGCTTGTAGCACCTTTTGTTTTCTCTCCCATCATCAAAGTGGCTCTCAAAAGAGCTTCCTTCTCTTCATTACCTCCAATGGCAGTTTTGATAAGGAAACACATTCATACAGTAAGCCTAACAGCTTCGTTTATCCAAATGGCGAGTGCCCTTCACAGCCACAGAAAGCTGCTGCTCTCTGGAAAGTTTTCAATTACTTTCCAGTACAGTGGTTTTCTCCACACCAATCCATGCTCAAAACCAGCTGTAGACTGTTTGTACAGTCATATCTTTAAATCAAGATACCTTCAGTCACCCTGGCTGTTCAAGAAAGTTAACGAACACTGTGTACATGTAAAAGGTCTGATATTTAGCATCCATCTTGTGTTTGGGTGATTGTTCAGTTTGTCAGATACAGGGTGTTTCTAGGTATCACAGGAAACACCTGCCTGCCAGGCTCCTAGTAATCATGGCCCGTTTCCTCTGAACCAGGCAAACTCTCCCCAGAGGAAGGTCCATAAATACTAGCTGGGTGTTGAGTTACGAGCAGGACATGTACTTGGGGCCATAGCCCCATCCAACAAAACCTGTGGCCAGGGAATAGTACAAGCTCTTTGGTCTGGGACAGGCTGCTATGGGAAGTGGCAGTCCGATTGTTGGACCTGTCAAACCAGACAGAGGGGGTGCTTCCAGTGCTACTTACCTTTTATGTATCCAGTGTGTGCTCGGCTGCTTGCCTGCCTTGCAGTTACGGGTGTGGAAAGGGGACACGAGCACAGAACCACCTCTGGGGCCCCACAAGACCTCGTGCTGGGGGTGAGCACAGGAAGGGCGGGAGGCGTCGGGGCGCTGACGGGGCAGTAGGTTTCCATAATCCACAGGCACCTTTCTGAACTGGATGAACCCACTCCCGGGAAGCTCCAGGTCTTTCAGTATCACATGTACACATCTTACTTGGCAGCTCTGGAGATTAGTTGGGCTGTAATTTTCCATTTCTGATTACAAACCTGACAAAATGTTATTATAACCCAGAGTACTTGGGAGCAGGGTTGTCTGCAAGCCAAGAACACAATTACTTGTTCCAAACTGGCTGTCCTAGGGCTCTGTGATATTTTTATGCCTCCCGTTATTATGACTGACATTACTAAGATTACTTTTCAAGACTCCTGCTCACTGAACTTACGAGCTAGTACAAGCAGACCTCTCTGGAAGTACCAGAAAAAAAGAGTTAATTACTCCCTTGATTTATGAGTACTCATAAATAAGAATTCTTTAACAAGAACTTAGGATGAGTCTCACTGGTCATTTACCAGGAAAGTAAGAACAACAAAAGGCTGTCTTTGTCATCAAGTCCATGTAGTTTTGAGCTCAGAAGGCACTCAAGACAACAAAACACTGGATGAAGAGCCCCCTGTGAGATCAGGTCCCAGGAAGAGAAGGAATAGCAACTTAAGAGTCAGCAGGCTGAGTGGGAAAGCCTGAAACATGAGACGAAGAGCGAATACTTTAGAGACAGCAACTTCTGCTTTATTGAACAGAGATCTTCTATTTTTTGGTGTTCTTGGATGTTTATGGGTGTCCTTAATGGAAGTGAGGATGGGGAAGGGGCATTCAGCGTGGGTCTCCACTATATGATCAAGAACACATCTGAAAGGGGGCACCAGCTTTAGTGTGGCAGCAAGAAGCTATTGTGGCTGCCACTGGAGGCTGAGAGATTGACCTCAGCACATCCCAGATCCTGAAAAAAGCTCCAAGATAATCTCATATCTCCTGCTTTCAGGAACTTCCATTATTCAATGCACAATAATCTATTATGGATCTCCACCTGCACAGGCTTTGCATCCCTGAGAAATGATCTCAGATGAGAAGACCCAGACTGCAAACAGGCCTCCCCAGGAAGGTTCCCTGTGTAGGACCAGGTAAAGGAACTCTTTCTTTCAGCCACAGTGGAGCCCCAGGTGGTTTTGAACACTTCCCTCCTAGCACAGGAGTCTCCCTTGTAGTACCAGAGTCATACCTTTGGGAGCACCACGTCAAACATCAGTCTGTGTGTTGGAGGGCTTGCAGTTGAGAGTGGGAAGCCTGGAGGTCACAGGAAAGTCACAGAGCAGATCCCATGACTGATGCCTGGGGTACCCAAAACATGCAAAGAACACAAGGCCTTTTCTAGCCCTGGACTTTTTCATAGGGGCTGAAGTCTCAGGCCTTTTCTTCCCATGAGGCTCTCTGCTGCCGCTGTTGAAGTCTCCAACAGGCCGTGGTGGTTGTTGGACTCCACAGAAGCCTGTGAGAGCTGCACAGTGCCCCAGTGCAGAGCCTCTCCTGGGAGAGGAGCCAGCAGGCTTCCTGGGGAGCAGACCTTGCAGGGCTCATGCCCTTGAATTTTCCCCAACAGAAGCACGTTAGGTGTCCATACAACCGTAGGGTGAATGTGCCGGTGAACAGGCATTCATATGAGGAGTGTATTCCCCCTTCTCCTAAGAAAGGTCTGGTTTTAGGTCAGCCATTTTACCCTTTGGCAGGGCAGACCTCTAATAGTGGCTAACCAGTGCAAGCCAGAAGCGCAGCAGTTTGAAGTGACCATAAACAGGCAGGGAAACCTTCAAGGAGATGCCCATCTTCAGGTAATGCATGCCAGACACACAGCACACGTACAGGAGATACACACTGTAAAGGGCTATCCTCTTCAAAAGCAGACACTTGGGACACTCCACGAGATCAGCAGGCAGGAGGGTCTCTGAGGAGCCCCTATGCACACTTCAGCACGGCAGCACCACAGCAGCCATCAGCAGACGGTACTTGGGTGAGGGGAGATGGGCGGCTGGTGAGTAACGGGGCAGTATCCACCGACTGACCCCAGGGGTCATCCACGTTCCCCTTCTGCTCTCCCTAATGGCCTTGGTGTGTAATGACCTTACTGGCAGAAAAATGGGAGTGAGGCTCTGTAGCACAGAAGTCATCACTTCACAGTGAAATGAAGGCATATTATTTGCCCAAAGAGAAAACCCTTTGGCAAGCCTAACAAAATGGGGAGCAGTTAAATTACTGCAAGAAAAATGACAAGAGTTTACCATGTTGTGTTCCAGCTCAGTGACCATTTAAAGCTGACTCCGTGAGGAGAGGCAGAAGCCTCCCTGTGCACACTGGCACAGCTCGTGCAGGGCTGTGCAGTGAACTGCACGAGGAGCAAACACTGCTGAAAAATGGATTGTTTCAGCCAGACCCGTTCCTTGATCCAGTTCACTGCACAAAGATGTGTGCTGGCATCAGGAAAGGGTGAGCTGGAGGTGATAATGTGTCCTTTAACAAGTGTCAGTTTAACGAGGTGGCTGCACTCTGGTTGCAGTTAATTCCAGCAGACGGAGCCCAGTTTGACAGCCAGCCCCAAGGCCTCCACGGCACCCTGTGCCACAGAGCTCTGCTCACCCCCATTTCCCAAACAGTTTCAGGTCAGCACTTTCACTGATCTGCAGGGGACGAACAGGCTGTGCTATAAATGAAGAGCAGTTCATCAGCTATTTAAGTGCCCTTTTTACTGAAATAAAAGAAAATCCACAGAAATGACGCCAAGATGTGGAAAAAACCCCAACCCAAAGCAGAGAGTGAATGCCAAGCTGACGCAGGCGAGCGCTGCCGGGAGCACGCTGGAGGCTGAAGTGGCTCGGAGCTGAGCGGCGCTGGCTGAGCCAGGCTCGGCCCTGCCCCTGCCCTGCCCCCCTCTGCTCCTGCCGCCTGCGCACGCTGCGCGCTCCGTTCAGTACCAGCGGGAGCTGCTTGTTCAGAGTTCCAGTGCGTCTGACTCATCGTGTGCCATCAGGCTTCTGCAGCCCTCAGAGCTCCAGCTCCCACTGCCCGTCCCCGCTGGCTAACCCCTGCTGCTACCGCTGGGAAAGGGAAGGGTCAGAGGAGAGAGAAACCCCCATCTCAAGTCATTCTGGGTCTTCCCTCTGCTCCCAGCTCTGGGACAGAGACACGACTTCCCATTTAGGACCAGAGTAACGTGCAGGTTCACAACCAAGGCCACAAGGTCCCACTGGCTACCGCTGCCCAGAGGAAGCCATGAAAGGCATGTCCCTGGATTTCCCTGCTGAAGCCTAGGGAGCGAGTTTGCCGCTTTCTTTTCCCTTCCCCAGACCCAGCTTGGGAATGCACTGTGCAGCCTTGCTCTTGCAGATGATGATTTTCCAGAGGAGAATGCTAGGCTCTCCAAAATCTGGGAACGGGAAAGAGAGAGGTGTTTGATAAACAGCCTTCAGGAACACAGCAGTGAAGTGTCTCTTTCGTAGGCACTTGCTCTTCACAGAGCCTTAGATGGAAGGATCCCACACCTTGCAGATTTTCTAAGTCCTAAGTGCGGACTTGCTCTTCCAGTTGTCCCTCCCACAGTACCTGCACCCATGGCACAGTGCTGTTTTATCTCCACCAGCTCTCAGAAGCCACGTAAGATGCAAGAGCTGCCAGATGTAGGATCTACTAAAAAGCTGTTAGGCACATGGGATCCCATGTCAGGAAGTGGAGCTGCTGCGTGACCAAATGCAAGCGGAGCCCCTGGGACACAGGCCAGTGCAAAGCCTCAACAAACACCTGCCCTGCAACCAGAAACCTGCCCGGCCACTGGGCCTCACATCCCAGGAGTCCCCCAGGCCGAGACCCGGCTGACGCTCAGGAAACCCTCCTCCAGCTGCCCTGCTCCCACGCGCTTCCTGCACCACCTCGGTGGGCACGGCTCTCTCGGAGCCCTGGGGTGTTGTTTCACGCCTCTGGTTTTGGTGGTAGAACTGGCTTATACCTTCCTCCCACCTCCACAGGGCTAAAGTGAGAAAGAAGCACATGGTGGCATAAGGCAAGAACAAAGAACTGCTTTGAAAGCTGGTCTCATTGCCACAGGGCTCAGGAAGTTACACCCTCATTTTCTCCAGCCATGACAGAGGGGTATTGCCGCCTCCCTGTGTTACGTGACACTAAAGATTAGGAGACGCTCTGAAAATGAACCTTGCCTCATCTTGGGTTTGGTAATGATAAACTCCCCCATACCTCACCTGTTTTACTTTGTGAAATAGGCCCAAATTAAAAAAAAAAAAAAGCAAAGCAAGCAGGCTGTGAACTCTGGAGGTTGACGCAGGCTCCCCTCACCAGCCGGTCAGGTGCCGCAGAACCGCACGCAGCCAGTGAGGAATGCACTTGCTGCCCAAGCACGTCTGAAGGCTGAACTTAAAATTATGACATTCAGAGTAGGCTTCCAGGAAGGAAAGCAAAAAACAGATAATCAGACAACAGGCAGAGTTACCAAACGGCCAGAATCAAAGAACAGTTTTTATTGGCCAAAATAACCAAGAAATAATTTTCTTCCTGTAAACAAAACCAAACTCTAACTGGAACAATGGTAAATATTTGCTAACAAAATGAAACACTGACAAACTCCACATAAACTTGACTGTTTGTGCTCATCCTCTGGAAATATTTCTCCTCCTAAAGAAGCTGGTTTTCCTCCTTAACCCTCCTGCACCACCACAAGTCAGAGAATGGCAAAACTCAGTCACTTTGGACAAGAGAACAAACACACTGGGATGTGCGAATGGGTCCATTTACACAAAGGAAAGAGGCTGCTGGTGTCTGCAAACTCCTTACACCCAAAGCATCAGAAACTCATAATTTCCCCTTTTCTGAAGACACAAATATTTTAATACATGAACTATAGGTTTGGTGGTTTTTTTTTTTAATCCTAGGACACAGGTGCAGTTGTGGCCTATACAGGTTGTTAAAACTACCTGCAATTTATCAGCTAACGCATCTCTATTTGGAAACCTTGGGAGCTTAAAAAAAATATAAAATAAAATTAAAAATTGGTTACATCGAGTTCTCAAGGCAGATGATGATATTAAAACTCAGCATTTACTCATGTCAGTGAAACAAATACCAGGCAGTGAAACTATGTGTTAGGGAAAACCTTGCTCTCCTTGGACACAGAAATCTTGGAGGAAAGGGCTGGGGGGGAGGTAGGGAGAGGGAGATCAATTAACAGGAGTACATTAACAGAAGCCAGAAAGATTTGGTGACTCAATAGTTACACAAATCTGTTCCACTTACTGACATAGGTGAAAATTTAAGAAACTAAGGCAAAAAAAAAAAATCAGCCTTGAAAAAAAAAGTATAGCTACTGACACAGAGCTTTCTAAAACATGCCATGCCCTGCACCGAGCTGCATGCTGCGCACAGGTTGGTAGAGGTGTGTGAGCAGAGAGCTGGAGCACAGCCCTGCCACAACACGACAGAGTCAACAAGACCTTCAGCCCGTGGCATGTCCTGGCTGCTACCCCTGCTGTGCACAGAACGGCACCGTGGCTCTGGCAGAGGAGATCCCCTGGGAACAGAGACCTCCTGCCCTAAGCTAGACATGATTTTACAAAACATCTTGAGATCTAACACCCGTACTACACCTTTTGTAAGAAAATAGAGAGCAGCTTTCCGCTGCAGTTCTTCTAAACTACTGTAGGAAGGCTTCGCTAGCATGCCTCCTAAATTGGCAACCATCTGAGGTAATCAATGATGTTGTTAAAACCAGCACCCTTCATTTCTCTCCACCCACACCAACTGTTGCCTCCTTATTGAGTCCTCTGATCGACAAGTCGTAAACCACCTCCTCAATTTTCTTGACGTCGTACTTCAGGCCGTCGTAGCGCTTCCGCAGGGAGTCGTTCTTCAGGTTGAGGAGGCGGAAGCCCGAATCCAGCTCGTTGATGAACGTGGAGATGCGGAGCGGGCGGGAGTAGTCCCCAGCCGTGACGCTGTTCACTGCCAGCCTGGCCTGCAGAGGACACACAGCAGCACGTCAGCAGAGGAGCCTGCCCCAACCACGCCACTTTCTCCGGCAGTTACTTTACCAAACAAAGCAGTTTTGTTCCAGGCAGTCAGATTATTTATCCTTAGATCTACCTTTCTGTTGACCGTAATCCTGGATTTTCAATCAAGTGGTTAGTTTTAAATCTTGAAATATCAGGGAGGAACAACTCTGGCATACAGAGAGGCAGTTGGCTGGAAGTTCAGATCAAGGCGTTGTATATCAGAACTTCTAGGAACAACTTGGGGGAAGTTAGAAAACACGTTACTTTTTTCTAAGTCTGTTTCAACCCAAATATATGCATGAAGACCATCCTCCTTACCAGCTCACTGGCCAGAGTTAACACACCAGAAAGATAGTCTTCAATGTCCAGGTGGAAGCCCTGCTCTCGATCAGCTTCAACTACAATGAAAAACAGGGCGGTAATCAGGTGCTGCTGAACACCAGCAAAACCAACGACCTGAAATTGCATTTGTTTACTGGAGCTAATTTGAAATATCCAATTTATGAAATATTATTACAAAATAAAAGTCAGTCTTTTCCTGCATGTGATGTAATTACTGCCTCTTCTCAGTGCTTTGATTTAGCATCTCATGCATCCTCAACTAGACGTGCAGCAGGTCACAATCGATCTAACAGGATAACTGAATTCACATCAACATTCAGGAAAGGAGCCCATAGTCATTCTTTAGAAAAATATTTTCATGATTTGTTTTCAAATCCTTTGCTCTGGAAGGACACAATTCTTTTACACCAGAAGGATTTACTCTGTTTTCCACACTTTTTAAACATCAAAAGCAGTAAGTGGGAACCATAAGCTCGCATCTTTGTATTATCCTTTTGGTACATTTATGTAATCTGAATTAAAAATCTTCACTGATGAAGAACTTATTACCAAATAAATACTTTTGTTCACATTACGTTTGCTGATTTCTACCTTCTAAAAGAATTTGTGATGAAATCAGATATCAGATAAATTCTGGAACCTATTTCTTTAGAAAAAATGAAGTTCTGCTGCTTCCCTGTATGTCTGAAAGCTACATCATCTAAAAACATCACAAGCTTTTCCTCTTCAGATACAAAATGAACTTACTCCCAAGTATTTCTGCAACAGCTTCTCGAGTCACTAACATTTCTGACTCCAGATAGACTACAAACGCTGCCAGAAACACCAACCGCTGAAGCACGAACCTCCAGTGCTCATGAAATCTGTTGAAGATAACAGCAAGTCAACGTATAAATAAGTAACATGTATTACTGGAGAGCTAGGTAACACATAAGTTTCCCACCTTTACACACAGCACTTTGCAATATTTTTGGCTTATTGGTACAACACCAGCTTAAAGTCTTGTGCTTGGTGCTCCAGACCTTCACCCCCAGGACACTAGGCTGGACGCCAGCGTTTGATTGCACCTCTCACACACCTACTCGGGCTGTTCAGGCTGCCATGCCCACAGGACAGCCAGGGCTTTCCCTCCCACCTTCCCTGGCAGGTCCCAGCTGACAAGATTCCTGTTCTGGGAAGTGCTCTTGCTAGACACTGTCCCCTTCTGGCAGCAACAAAACACAAAGGCGACGACTTCATTTAGTATCTGCTGTATCAAACAGCCATTTCATGACAGATTTAGAGCTCTGTTTTCAGAAACGCTCCAAACCTAACTACTTAACTGAAACTAATAGAGCAGAAAATGCTCTGCTCCCAGAAACAACGATCTGCTCCAACACAACACCAATTTCTTAAACGTTCCTCTTCCTTTTTTAAAAATGTTTCTAGAAAAAGAATTAAATACTAGATATTTTTAATGAAAAGTTATAAACAGAACACTTAAGCACAGGCATTTTTTATCTATGCTGATAAAACCATCCCACTTCTCTACCATGATTTACTTTTCAAGCATCTGGCCCATAAACCTTTAAACCATTCTTCCAAAGTAATGATGCCAACTGTGGCCAGGGAATTCCCGTATCCAGGTCTGGCTGCACGTGGTCCTGCACACCTGTAATACTGATCAGCGGGAAACTTGGTCTTCAGGGATTCCATCTGTGTTCTCACCGTACCAAAGTGTTCACGAGCCTTCTGACATTTCTTTGGTACTGGAAAACAAAGAGCACAACGTTCAGCACTTGACAGAGAGCATGGGTTTGTGAACAGAGAGCTTTCTAGGGCAGACAGTGCTATTTATGCTCCTCTGTTGCCCAAGAAAGAGCAATTCAAACGTCAGTAGATTAAGAAATACTCATTGTCGCACCACGAGTCCCCCAGGTAGAGGAGAAATACTCCTCACTTGTAGGCTGCCCAGTCTGCTCTGGTCCTTAGTTTTGAACTCGAGCCAAGATGCCCCACTGTTACTTAAGAGTCACTGCTGATCATGACTAGTTACTGCAGCTATAAACCTTATGCTGTGGATGAAGAACCCCTTCTGTAAGGGTCCCTGACAGAAGAAGACACCGGAAAGGTCACCCAGCCGACGGGCCAAGGGGCGACGGGAGGTACAGTCCAATGGAGGCAGGGTGGGGAGCACGGGCTCGATGGTGTGTCTGGCTGTGGAACGGACCCACCAGCAGAGGAGCCTGGCCACCTGCTGAGCAGGGTGTCAAACAAGCCACGCCGGAGGAGACGTGACAGGCCTGAGCTGATAACAGGACATTTTTAGTTCTAGCTGTGTGGATAGAGTAAGAGAAAGGGGCAGCCAGTAGGGTTGTACAGGTGTTATAAAGAGAGAAACAAGATGTTCTGGAGAGCACCTTAATGCCGTGGTTAAGAAAAACCAGCAACAACCTGACAGCAAGCACCAGGAGAGCACTGCACCCAGCAAACACCACCACGCAGTGCCCCCAGACAACTGCAGTCAAAAGAAAAGCAACTTCTATTTCTCCAGTTTAAAATCTTATCATTTAGATGAGGTGCAACATCCCTTCAGTAAAGTGCATTTGCTGCTGTGGAGCGATGTATTTGAGGAAGCTGGGTGTCACCCTTCCTGTGCACAGAGAAACACAGCCCTGCAGAGAAGCGTCTCCTTTAGGTACCACCCACTGCCACCTCCTGTCTGCTGATGCCAGTTACAGCCACACTGCACCCACAGGACCAGGGCCCGACAGAACCAATCAAACCAGTGCTTCTTAACTGCAGCCTTCTCAGATAATCCTGGCCACGACCCAAGGCAGGGAGAAGACCGACCTAACAAACCCTCCTGCACCTCGATGTAGAGAGGCTACGATTATTTAAACAGGACCCACGGAAGCTAAGTCTGAAAGCTGGGATGAATGATTTTTAGCAAATAAGCCCTGCTAGGAGTCACTTCAGTGTGTTTAAAAACTTATTTCAATTAATACAACATCAATTCCATGTAGAAAAAAAGGGAGGGGGTTACTTAAAATAAAAGCTTCAAGAAGCAGAAGGTGAAGTGAAAGGTCTCTGTGTGGCAGCCAGAATGAAGGACACGTGACACTGACAGCCACCCACTGAACACTGGCCTCAAACGGTGATCTCTGCCTCAGTCGTGTAAGCTGGCATGTGGCAGCTGGGGACTGTAAGGCACACATTTTCATTTTGGCTTCTACTAAAGGAAACCGTGACAAAAATAAGCAATCTTTCCTGTAAAGTTTCAGCCACCGGCACCCAACAACACTGACACAGCCTCTCAACTTCAAGCTATCCTCAGGCATCCTCATGCATCACCACTGAAGTTTTGCCAAACTTAAGACAACGTGTTTCATGGGCACAGACACACTAAGCTGATTCCAGGCTCCGAAGACCCCGTCACTCAGGCTCAGGTCAGCTCACAACAGGCCCTGAGCAGCTTTCTGAGCAGTTCTGGCTCTATTTTGGTCAGGAGAGCTGAAGGAGAGATCCTCTAACCCTGTTCTCTGGGATGCTGAGGCTGTGGGATTCTGAGGCTCAGCTGGTTTTCCTTCCCTTCCCGCAGCTGCGTGGAGGCTACGACCATGCGCCCAGAGAAGAGGTGTTCTGGGTCCATGGAGAGCAGAGGAAAGGCAATGTGCAAGGGAGTGTTGTACAGCCCCCTGGCTGGTCCAGGACACCGCCCTCCATAAACCCCAGTGACCCGGCAGTCCTGCCCGCGGGGCTCTCACCCCCCTTACCCGCCTCTTTGGCGGGACGGGCTCCGCAGCCTGCTGCAAATCCTCTCCCTGTTTCCCCTGGCTCTCTGCTGAGCTCTCCTCATGCTACCTCGACCAGTGATGCAGGAGTAGTTACAAAGGACCAATGGGCAGGCGCATCACCCGCTTAGGCTGGCGCGACACAGCTGCTGCTGCCAGCCCAGCCCCACTCACCAGGCACCACCAGGTACTGATTAGGTACCTTGCACTTGCACAAGGTAACCTGCACTGACTAGCAGTATTTTTGGTTTTATTATTATTAGTTTGTACAGTCTTTATAATTTAATATTTTTATAGTTCAATAGTTGTAGCATTTACAGTTTTTCTTATATCTTGGAGTAAATAAATATCAGGCTGAAAGATCTTGATGCTACAAAGTATAGCAGAACTCTCAGCTGTAATGAAGAATCCTCTCTTTCAGAGCTGTAAGAGTCATCTTTAATCTGCTCAGGAAGAATCATTCCAATTTCTTAATAAACACGTGGCAGGGACTCGGTGGGACGCCGTAGCGAGCCAAGCAGCCATTTAAGTGCACTATGCTGCAGAACGACAGCCGTTATCAAATCAAACTGTAGGCTAAACGACACCTGACAAGTGATAGTTATCCCCCTGACAAGCCTTCTGCTAATTAGCATTTTATTATTCTTCTGTAAACCTTTATTAATCTAAACGCTTATTGACTTTCTTTATTATGCTTGTAATTGACGACAAACTGACAGGTCTATTAACCTGAGTTAATTCCTAAGCTATTAAGCACGTCTTCATTATATCTGCTATTACAAGAATTATAAGAAGAGCTTTTTCTCCCCCTCTCTTTTTTTCTTCTTACTTTATTCCAAATCTCTTCTTAGACTCTGCAAGTTCCAAGACCAGCTTTCTCCTGGAATTAAAAATCAAGTGAAAATAGAGAGCCTGACACAGGCCTCTACTATCAAACGCTGGGAAGCAAGCCCTGAGGTTTATACCACGCAAAACAACTCTCAGAACACCCATGTATTTACTCAGCTTAGAAAAGTGAGTGTAGATTAGCCAATCAGCAGTTCAAATGTTTAGTACTGCTGGATTTACTAAGTAGGTGGAAGTTGCACCTGCCAGCAGAGGCCAAAGCTCGGGTGTTGCATGTTGCTACACATGTATCCCAGGTCTCCAGCTCCAGCATGCTGATGAACTTCACCAGGCTGATGACAACCAGGCAGCTCTGCAGGTGAATAAACAGTACCTGGTGAGGCTCAGTCTTCTATTCACCTTCAGAGGGTGGCCTGACAGATTGCTCCCCTTCACAAACTCCTCTCCAGACCCTTCAGAAAAGCCAGGATGGATGCTTTTTCCCAGAAGTTGGTTCAAAAAAATAGCTTTAGTCACAGATCTAAGGGAAAAAAATGCTTATTCTGGTAGCTTTACCAGTAAATCTAAACATGGGGATGGGGAAGCAGAAAGAGCACACGTGGCATCTAGGCGTGGAGCGCTTATAGCCTGGAGGAAATAGGTTGGCCCAGAAGCATCATGTCAAGTATCTTAAAAAATTTTGGATTGAAAGCAAGCAACCAGGCTAGCTACAACCCAACCCTCAAAGCCAGCAGAACAAATCCTCATACATTAGAGAACTCCTGCTTCTTCAGCATTTACAAACTGCCTGCGCACTCTGAGGCACTCAGCAGAACTCAGATACACACACAAGGTCTCCAACAAGCTGTGCTGAAGTTCCCCCCTCAGCACCACCCAAAGGGTTCAGGATCATCACTTTTTGGGGTGGGGTGAAGAGGTACAGAAGGAGATACAAGTACAGAAGTCCAACAAGTGATGGTAAATTGAGCATGATATGAAAATCTACCTGCATGTTGCTTAAGAGGAAGCTGAGGAGCCAATTCCAGCCCCGAAGCGGTGAGACCCCCGGCTCGGAGGGGACGCGGGGAGAGCAGTGTTCCCTGGGGATCACAGAATTGTCAGGGTTGGAAGGGACCTGAAAGGTCATCTAGTTCCAACCCCCCTGCCATGGGCAGGGACAACGCCCACTAGATCAGGTTGCCCAGAGCTCCATCCAGCCTGGCCTTAAAAACTTCCAGGGATGGGGCCTCCATCCCCTCCCTGGGCAACCTGTTCCAGTGTCTCACCACCCTCACAGTGAAGAACTTCTTCCTAACTGCTAATCTGTATCTACCTACTTCTAGTTTTGCCCCATTCCCCCTAGTCCTGTCACTACCCGACATCCTAAAAAGTCCCTCCCCAGCTTTCCTGTAGGCCCCCTTAAGGGACTGGAAGGCCACAATAAGGTCCCCTTATAGCCTTCTCTTCTCCAGACCGAACAGCCCCAACTCTCTCAGTCTGTCCTCATAGGGGAGGTGCTCCAGTCCCCAAAGCATCCTTGTGGCCCTTCTCTGGACACGTTCCAGCACTTCCGTATCTAATGAATGAACGGCAGCTCGCCTGGCTGCCTGCCCCACGCCAGCGGCAGTCTCTGAGGAGCCCACGCAGGACACCCAGGAGTGGCCGCGGCGACTGAAATACGGGGAAGAAGCGCCGGTAACAGAGGGGCCGGCAGACCCCGGGAGGAATTC